CCTGGTCACAGCTGACAAATGATGTTCGAAATGGGGAAGAAAATGGGGAAGAAAAATATCCGTTGCCAATATGTGGACATGCTCAGAATTTTGAATATATGCCACAAAATGGCTGCCATGTTGCTACAAGTAACATAAGAATTACTTACCGGAAGTTGAATAGGATGTTTTTCACCTCTGCTACTGGTCTTTGACAAGGAAATCCCTAACACTCTCTCCTCTCCTCGTAAGCAAAACCTTTGAAACTGACTTTGTAAGTGAAGTACTGTACCCCCTAGGCCTCGACTTAATTTCCATAGTTTCATATACTTTAAGCTATGCTGTCCTATGTAGAGATAGAACTCAAGAAACACTGATACAAAACTTCACCATTAATGGCTTTAGAGTAAGGATTTGCTCGATCGTTTTGTTCCAAATGATCTTAAAAAGACTCCCGGCCATTTGAAGAGACAGCTTGCATTTGTCATCCTCATGATGCCTAAGTTGGTTTTTTTTTAAAACTTTGTAAATAATGCATTTTATAGCATCTCTGACTAATGGTTAAAGTACAAATGTTTTCCCCAACACCAAGAATGTTCCTGTGGCAGACAGCTGGCTGAATCTGTGTGGCTTCTTTTTTTAGGAGTTTTGACATCAATGTAGACATAGATAAACACTTCAGACAGTCCTGCTCCGAGTTTCAAAACATCTGAGGCAGCCATCCTGATAGCAATTTGCTGTTATACTCAAGAATGGGGGCCTGGAGTTTAGCTTTGTGTTGCTTTGCGATCATGATTTGTACGGAAGAGCTATTTGCCTCCAGAAATAATACCCTACACAAGGACTGTTCTCCAGATTGTTCTGGAAGGAAGAGAGTCAGAAGAATTCCCCTCAGAAGAAGCTACTGCCGGCTGAGAGGCTGTTGCCCAGGCAGAGATGACAACTGCATCTTTCAATACAATGTCAGAAATGCCACATGCTATTGTGATGAATTTTGCACTTCGGATCCGCCTGATTCTATTGACTGTTGCCCAGACTTCTGGCTGGTTTGCCGCAAGCATGCTCCAGAGCATTTAAGACCACAGGAACAGCAATGGGGTAAGTTTTCCCACCTCCATTTCTACCAGGCAGAGGAGTTAATGTCCTTCTGGAATGTGACCGACTGAATGCTGTAAAAAGGTTTGGAGTCTTGAAGGAGCCTTGGAATGGCTTGGCTTCAGAAGTTGTGATTCCATTCCATTTATTAGACTTGTATGCCGCCCTATTCCCCGGAGGGACTCAGGCCGGCGAACAGACATATAGGAAAGGGGACAATACAAAAAACGAATGAAACAAGACAGGATACAGAGACAAATTAAAACTACACAACAGTCAACAATTCGAGTGAGGCTGGGAACTCATCAGCCCCAGGCCTGCNATCTATCTATCTATCTGATTGCTAGCCTCTATTGGCAATGGGACCACTTGAAGGTAAAGACAGTTGACAGAGCTGGCTTCAAGTTCAAAATGGTTCTATAATGACTAAAAGAGCCCATTTTGAATAAAACAGTCTCTTTCCAATTTCACACTGGTTTGAATTCAAAATGGTTTGTGCTCCATGACTGTCCAGCCTAAAAGATGACTTTTATAATTACTTCGCTGTAGGAAACAGATCTGCCTGTACCCTGTTTTTTAACATTCAATCAGCAGGGGAGAAAGGTGAGCCGGATTCTGGATTGCGGCGTGTGAAAAATCCTGGCATTGAAAATAGAGTGACATGATTGATTTAAAAAAAAGTGTATGATAACATTGAGAAAGTACACAGAAAACTGGGTTAATTTTTTTCAATAGGCCTGGCAAACCAACTGTAACTGATTTTAAAAAAAAGTCTGAATTAAAAATGAGAAAAAAGGGAGAAATCTACAGCTGATTACATTACCAATAAAAATCTGAACGAGTAGGATAATCCAGCTAAAAATACATGGCTGTTCTACACATTAGTTACAGTCTATGCTAACTTATTTTAGAGAAGATTATACAGATCTCTCCCACAGTAGAAACAAAACAAAAGAATCATTTGCCATATAGCAAAATAAAGAAGGATAAAAGATAAATCACAATAAAACAAAAAAAAAAACCATTGGTATTGGACAGCAAAAAAAAAAGCAGCAACCAAAACTAATCTGGATAGAAGACAGGGAGAAGTGGCCGAAGGGACTTATTTTTTATTTATTTATCAAATTTATTTGCCAACCTTGAAGGCGACTCTGACTAGCCTACATCAAAGTATATTCCTAGGATCTTTTTTTTTTTAATGAGGGAAAATCTCTTTTGGTCCTCCTGACTCCAGCTCGAGAAGGATACAGAGATGATTCTCTTGCTTAAATTTTAGGGACTGGTAGAAGAATAATAGAGGAAATGTTCCTTTTTATAAGAATGTTTGAAAGTTTATTTTATTTATATGCTGCCCTTTTCCCCCGAAGGGGACTCAGGGNAAAAGATAAAAGATAAAGGGAAAAAAAAGGAATTAAAAAAAGAAAAAAGAAAAAAAGAAAAAAAAAGGAAAAAATCAATAAACTCTCTACATTGAACTCAGCTTCGGTGTCGTCGTGAAATTTTGACTAGGGAAAAAAGAGGGAGAAATCCATCCATTTTCCTCTTGTGTTAATGCATACTCCATTAGGCAGGCAACATGCTTCTAGAGAATTCAGCTCTTCATTAGCAGATTTTCTTATGACTTTTACCAGTACATCAATTTTGTCCATTTGAGTTTAATCTATAGTGCCGTTACACATCAGGGATAATGCCAGCATGTTCAGAGTTGATTTCTTGGCATGACTACCTCTGTAACGTTTTACTATGCTCTTTGGTATTTTTTGTGGACATTTAAAGACATTTGAAGTTGGCTGTTGAATGTCTGCACATTTATTGTCTAGTTTCTTTCTTTCTTTTTTTTTTTTAAAAAGCAGATTGTATTTGCAGTAATGGATACTGGCATTGGCAGGGGGTTGGAGCAGGAGATCTCAAATTCTTACATTCAATGATTCTGCTTTATGCAGAACTTGGGCAGGAAATAATTGTTCACTGTATGACATCTGCAAGTCCAGACAGGAGAAAAGTCCTGAAATGTGGTCTTCACCAGCTTTTTAATTGGCTTTTCTCATAGAAAATGTTCCAGCAGTTTCCATGGCTTAACAGTTGGATGCAGTTATTAGTTTCCTGTCAAATAGTTGCTCTAAATCAGTGTTTCTCAACCTTGGCAACTTGAAGATGTCTGGACTTCAACTCCCAGAATTCCCCAGCCAGCATTCGCTCTAACCTCTAACCCTTTAGGAGTGGTGGGTTTCAAAAAATTTTGGAACCTCTTCTGTAGGTGTGGCCTGCTTTCCGGGTCCACTGGTGAAACCTCTTCTAACTGGTCTGGTAGATTTGATGAACCGGTTCTACCGAATAGGTGCGAACTGGTAGGAACCCACCTCTGTCTAGAAGTCTCTCTTGTCTTTTACCTCCTCCAAAATCGAAGGAGCAAGAGACCCTGTACTTTACAGCCAGAATTTTCTCCCTAACAACAGCAACTAGGCATGTAGATTACATCTTCAATATGATCTTCAATATGAGCATTTTTGTGGGTGAGAAAATATAACTTAATATTTAGTTCACATGAGTCAAAAAGCCTGAGAAAACTCACGAGGCAAGACATTGATAAATATTAATACATAAACAGGAGAAATCAATTCAGCAGTTCTTATAAGCATCTTTAAAAAACCCCACCAGGGAATGAAAAAGAGACTTAGGAGGTTTAAGGTTAAGATCAGGTTTATTGGCTTGGTTCCCTGTGAAATCTATTATAAAGCTTCAAAACTCAAGGAGCTGAGGTGGGATGAAGCAAGAGTGCTGATAGATCAACAAACAGCCTCTCACATCTAAACCTCACAAGCCTTCGGGATCACAGATCACAAGCAGAAGTATTGCAATTAGAGTCTGGCTTTCAAATGAGCGAAAATAAAATTACTTTGATTCTCTGAGAAGGGTGACATTGATGCCAATGTCATACATGGAGGGTCTTCAGGACCCTAAAGTGCATGTTTCTTTTCAGTTTCTGGTGTCTTTCATGGAAAAGCTTCTTGTTTAGATCTAAAGCTTTTTGTTTAGATCAAGGCTTGATTACCGCAATGCGCTTTACATCGGGCTGCCCCTGAAGCGTGTTCGGAGACTACAGTTGGTCCAGAATGCGGCCGCGCGAGCAATATCAGGTGTACCTAGATACACCCATGTTACACCTATCATCCGCGAGCTGTACTGGCTTCCCATTGGTCTCCGAACATGCTTCAAGGTGCTGGTTATTACCTTTAAAGCCCTACATGGCTTGGGATCTGGATATCTGCGGGACCGCCTCCTGCCGCATACCTCCCAATGACCCATAAGATCTCACAGGCTGGGCCTCCTCCGGTTGCCGTTGACTGGGCAATGCTGGTTGATGACCCCCCCGGGGGAGGGCTTTCTCTGTAGCTGCTCCAGCCCTGTGGAATGATCTGCCCGCAGAGATCCGGACCCTTCCCAGTCTCTCGGCCTTCTGAAAAGCCACTAAAACCTGGCTGTTTTGGCAGGCCTGGGGCTGTTGACTCCAAAATATGATCCAGCCCCATCTAGAATTGAGTGTATGATGCGCTGTTTTTAAATCTATCTTTTCTTTTCCCTATATTTTAGTTTTGACTTTATTTTTGTAATTGTAAGCCGCCCGGACTCCTACAGGATTTGGCGGCATATAAATTTTATTAAATTCAAATTCAAAAGGGGCACAGTATCCTAGTGGTTAAGAAGCTGGGCTTGTCGACCAGGAGGTCGGCAGTTCGAGACCCAAGCACTGCATGATAGGGTGAGCCCCTGTTCTTTCTCCAGCTCCTGCCAATTTAGCAGTTCAAAAGCATGCAAATCAGGGGTGTTATACACTTACCTTCCCTACCGGTTCGCAAATGTTCCGCGCATGCACTTTTAGTGAAAAAAAATGGGCCTAAATGGGATGCCATAGAGCTGGGCGCAGGTGGGCGAAGTCACCCACAATTTCCACTACTGATTCTGGCTATCCAGTCCAAACCAGTAGAATACCATCTCTGATGCAAATGTGAATAAATAAGTAGGTACAGTGGTGGGTTTCAAAAACTGTTCGAACCTACTCTGTGGGTGTGGCCTCCTTTGTGGGATTGGCTTGCCGCCCATGTTACCAGATAT